ACCCTGCAGCGTGTCTGCCCCAGCTTGGGGCACCCGTGGCGACAGGCCTCTGCCCAGGGAGCCCCCGTCCAGCTGTGGGTGCTGGAGCTGGCGCTCGAAGGGCAAAGAGGGTCCCAGCGCCCAGCGGGGAGGCTGACCCTAGCCTTCCGCCTGTCCCCGCAGGTGGCTGGCGTGTCGCCTGGCCGTCACCTGGTGCCGGCAGAAGCTTCACGCGGAGCTGAAGATCGGCTCCTTTGGCTTCTTCTGGGCCCAGAACATCAGCCTCAAGTTCCAGCGGGAGCAGCAGACTGTGGTGGGTACCCGGGCGAGGGGTGGTCGCAGGCAGACGAGGGCAGGCAGGACACTGCCGTCACTTCCAGGCTGGCAGCAAGTCCCTGCAGCCGAGCTCCTGTCGCGCAGCCCCATAGCTGGTGCCAGGCCCTTCCTCCCATGGCCAAACTTGGGGTTTTTGGATGCTCCCCGATTCTCCCCGCATGATGCCAGGCATTGGGAGCAGAGCAGGAACACCGGGATGAGCATCACAACGCAGAACCAAGTTGTTTTTTTCTCTGACCTACCTGTGCGTCCTTGCAGGAGATCGACAACGTCTGGATCTCCAGTAAACTGAGCCGGGAGCTGCCGTACGTACCCCCACCCCAGCTCCCTCCCTGCTCTCTTTGGGGGGTCTGGCTCATCCCTGGCCCCACTGACTGTGGTTCTGCTGCCTTTACACCTTTCTGCAGTGCCTGTTTCCCCACGGTCTGCTCTGTGTGGGAGTGAAGCACCCTTCTTCAGGGTGGCAGTGTCGTGCAGATGCTCTTGTGCCGGTCCTGCGTGTCCCCAGGGCGAGGGGACATCCCTGGCGATGGGGCCAGGTGTGCCATGTGCAAGCTCTTGTAAGAGTTGCCCGTGCTGTTCTTCTGCAGACGCTACTTTGAGCTGTGTTTTGGTGAGGTGCGAATCCGCACCGATCTCCAGAAGGGCCCTGGGTTCCAGCCGTCCATCCCAGAGGCTCCCGGAGAAGCTGATGGAAACGAAAGCAGAGCAGACCTGACTCTTAAACCCTCCCTGCTGAGGCTCCTAAGCCAGGTGAGACACTGGCTTGGTGAGAGGCTGCTGTGGGCTGCGCTGCTGTCAGACATCCCTCACAGCAGCACCTTCCCCCCAGCTCTTTTCCATCCACGTGGACTCCATCAACATCATCGTTCTGCACGTGGCCACCTCGGAGTCTCTCTGGCACATCCAGGCCAGCAAGACCCGTCTCCTCCTGAATGGCGACGGGAAGAGGTAACGCTGTGCTCGTGTGCTGCTCTGCTCCCCCAGCCTGGCCCTGGGTCCCAGGGGGCAGGGAGGCTCCTCTGACCCCAGCCAGGCTCCCTGGTGTCTCGCCTCATCAACATCATCGTTCTGCACGTGGCCACCTCGGAGTCTCTCTGGCACATCCAGGCCAGCAAGACCCGTCTCCTCCTGAATGGCGACGGGAAGAGGTAACGCTGTGCTCGTGTGCTGCTCTGCTCCCCCAGCCTGGCCCTGGGTCCCAGGGGGCAGGGAGGCTCCTCTGACCCCAGCCAGGCTCCCTGGTGTCTCACCTTGCTCCATCCCACTCGGCAGCATCCCATGTCACCTGTGATGTGACACATTAACCTCCTCCGAGGCTGGTCTGGTCCCTTTTCCCTTCACGGGAAGCTCAAGTTGTGTGTTCTCCAAATTACAAGTCGCTGCGCTGTGCACAGAGTTAGGGTGTGCTCTGCTTTTGGGAGGACTTGGAGCCGGGACCTGGGGTCCCTGTGTCCCACAGAAAAGGGAGGGCAGGGGCTTGCTTCGGAGGCAGCAGGGCCCGCAGCCTCCATCTGTTCTCTGCTCTCCCCAGCCTGACCTGCGAGGTGAGCCTGACAAAGGTGAACAGCAAAGTGCTCCGGAGCAGCCAGCTGGTGAGTGCTGGGGAAGGGAGAAATTCAACACTTCGGGCCTGGGCACTGGCTCTTTGGGACACCCCGAGGACCTGTTCCAGCCCGTCCCCGAGGCTGGGCGATGTTGCAAGGCTCCTGCAAGGCTCTGGGCTCCGTGCTGTGCCCAGCGCTTCACCCGCAGCATCCACCGGCAGGGAGTTGGGTGACTCCCCGTGCACTCCTTGCCCGTGTCCTGGTACAGGATGACACCTGCCTGGCGGAGCTGGCCCTGGCGCTCTCCCTCTCACTGGAGATCAGCAGCAAGCGGCGGCTGGTGGGCGTCAGGCTGCGCGTCTGGACCCTGCAGGCAGAGCTGCACGAAGGGCTCTTCTGCAGCCCGCTGCTGCACCGCGTCGCTGGCAGGGCCCAGCGCAGCAGCGCGGGGGAACAGCACAGCTCAGGTCAGGGATGGGGACAGGGACAAGCTCTGGGCAGGGCAGGGGCTGGCAGCCCCCAACTTGCACCGGAGCCAGAGGGATTTGGCTGTGCCATCGCTCCCTCCCACTGCGGGGCCGTGGGGGTTTGGGCAAGAGCCTTCCGGTGACTCTTGTGTGTCCCTCTCCAGGCCCCGGGGAGCCCCTGAAGTCCCTGTCTCTGCTGAGCAGGGACACGCTGCAGCTCATCCCCGGGAGGGTGGAGGTGAAGCTGGAGAACACCAGCGTGGTGCTGTCTATGAACAGCCAGAAGAGGTAAGGAGGCAGGTGGAGGGGGAGGCTGTCCTAGCCCCGATCAGCACTGGGGACAGGGACCTGGGGACAGCTGTGCCATTCCCTGCTCGTCCCTTGCTCTGCCAGACCGCAGAGAGTGAGTCCTAGATCCCACCCCAGTGGGAAGGACTGAGCTTGGCCTGGGGCCAGGCTCTTGGGGAAGGAGAAAGGCACGTGAGCTAGTCCTCCAGTAGGACAGCCTGATGGGATCCTCTGCTGATGGGATGAGAGCGCTGGGCTGGGCTGCAGCTGGGCACTGGCTGGTGTCTTTGTCCGTGCCAGCGTGCCGGTCAGCTGGGGATGAGGGATGGGGAGATGAAGGACATGACGGTGCAGTTCCCTTCTGGCAGTGACTCCCTGCTTCTCACAGGCACCTCACCTGGAGCCTGAAGCTGCTGCAGTTTCTATATCAGCGTGAAGAGGAACAGATCCCGCTGCGCAACTTCACGCCCACCTCAGACCTGGACCAAATGAGTGTAGACCTCCAGCTGGAGGGCAAGTAGCCAGGAGGACACCTGTGGGACAGGGCTGCCGTCACCGCCCTCCGCCACCCCTCACTTCTGCTCCTCTCTCTCCCCAGATGGCCTTCTCCTGTCCCAGAGCCGCCAGCGCATCGTGTGCCTCAACTCCCTGAAGACCAGCGTGCAGGTGAGCGGGCGCTGGGCACGGTCCTGTCCCCTGGGCGGGGAGGGGGGGGCTGGTTTGGCTCCTGGCACGAGCTTTTTGCCACCCTGCCCTCTCCCTGCTCTAGGTCACAGCCATTGACCTCTCGGCTGCTGTGCTGCTCAATACCTGCATCATCCACTACCGCCACCAAGAGTTTTCGCACTGGCTGGGCCTGTTGGCACAGGAATACAGGTGCCAGGCGGTGCCTATCCCCAACCAAGGGCACAAGGGAAGGTAAAGTCAGCCTCAGCGCAGCTGCTGGTATCGCAGCTTGTTTCCTCTTGCCTGCCGCCCTCTGGCAGGGTGCTCAGGCACACAGCACCTTCTCTGCCCTGTGCACAGCCCCTGGGACGGGGAGGCTGGTACAGAGGGCGGTGGGCAGTTGGAGGGTCCCTGCGGAGA